CTGTCTTACTATGTAATCCTTATTATTTTTCTTATTTATCCTCCTTTTGGTAATTCTTATAACTACAAAGAACCAACAGACATTTATCTTTTCTTTGTAATTGTATTCTTAAATTCAATACATGAATCTATTGTATAACATTAATATAAATAAAATATACTGATGCTCAAAGGTTACATTTGTGTAATGTGATAATCGATGTGACTATCAAGTGCATTAGTATACCTTATTCTATAGATGAACCCATTGAAGTATTATTTAATTTTTCATCTTGATGTTTTTTAAAATAATTTCTTGGGAAGTCTATATCATCTTTGGTAATAGATATATCAAATTCTTTATATTGTGTATAAGCACTATATAGAAGTTTGTATACAGTTATTGCTATCTTACTATCAAATGATGATAATTTATATTTAAATCTAACACAATTTATATATAATAACAAATTTGAAGAATATTCCAATAATCATCAAGTTTTTTATGTATTCATTGTGCAATTTAATTTTTTATTAGAATTTCACTATGCAATACATCACATAAAATACTTAAAATAGTTGAGAATATTATATGCAAATCTTCCATTGTTGGATGGGTTGATGATAATAAAATAGAAGTTGCTTTTGCCATAGGTTCAAGTAGTGTAATGATGATCTAAAGATAAATAAATTAATTTTATGAATTTTTAAAAAAATATATAAAATTAAAATACTAACCTCAATTTTATTCCATTCAGCTTCATCTAAATATTGGGTTTTTAAAGTAGGGTTATCCTTAACAAGATCATTGATCATTTGACAAATTCAGAACATCTTTTCAATTATTGTATAAGTACTGTTCCATTGCATCGATACATTCAAGTCAGGTACAAGAAAAGATTGTTTATTTATTTAAAATATTCTTTTAAGATCCTTAAATAAAGGTTGAGATTTGCATACATAACTTACAAAACTTCATAACTTTGTAACTAAATTAACAACAACTTTTATGCCTTCTACTATTGCAAGATTCAACATGTGAACTGCACAATATACATGTTCAAATTCCTTATTACTATTATTATATCAAAGTTTTTTGTGAAGCATACATCCAAATACATTCATGCTAGATGTATTGTCTGTAGTTGCAGATATAATATAAGAGTAAATATTATAAAATGAAATAGTCTCTAGAATTTTTTCTGTTATGTAATTACCTATATATCATTCATGAAGAGGTATCTTATCCAATAAAATTCTTTTTATAACCTAATTTTTATTAATCTAATGAAGTTTAAGAGCAATAAACCCAAGATTAGTGTATGAAGTTCAAACATCCATTATAATTGAAAATTATTGTTGATTTGAATTAAAAAAATTATAAAGTTTACTTTATTTATTATAAAACATGATTAAAATATTTTGTGAAACAAATTGCCTAGATAGAAGATAATACCATTGACTTAATTGGTTAATAAATCATTAAAAATCTTTGTTTTCAACAAGATAAAAAGCTTGCTAGTCTGTAATAATCTATTTTAAGAGATATTAGTTAATTTTAAACATCTTATCAGTACTATAAAGCTCAATATTGGCTCTAATAGTTAATATAAGTTCATTATATCGATCTGCATGATTATGTCTAAAATGCGATTTAATAGTAGAAAGGCCAGTATCCATTGAGTAAGATGTATTGCAATGTTTGCAATGCCATTTATTACTGGTTTCAACAAGTTTATCTCAGAAAGGATCTTTTTTTAATCATTTTGGAGGATGGTTTATTATTTCTAAAAGGGTTTTAGATTCAAATATATTTTGAGAGCTCAAAGAGGGATGTTTAATTGGATTAATAAATTGTTTAAATATATTTTTTTCATCTATTTTATGAAGTTAGAGAAATAAGTAAAATATATACAAACAAAAAAAAATCACTTATTTATTTTTTAATACTGTAGTAATTGATTAAAAAAAAAGCTAATATCAGCATAATATTTTTAATTAAAGAGTCTATCTTCGTCATATTAACATAATGGCATAATAATTAATCAATCAAAAAAAGATATTTTTCATCAATGACAATATTAGTTAAAAGTCTAAAGTCAATTACTAATCAAGCATTTTACTAATCTAATCGATTCAAAACTCAATTTGAGCAAGAAGAGTTTAAACAACATAGTAAAAATTATATGACCAGAAAAACTCGAATTTAATTGGTTCAGGTTTCAAACAGGATCAAATCAAGTTCAGACAAGTAGAATAATATCTCTAGTATCAATGATCAAACCCCTCCAAATATTCTATCATTTGATAAAAACAAATATTGATATCCAGTTTCTAGACAATTTTCAGATAAAGGTTTAGTATTGTTATACATATACTATAATTAATATCAATATATATATTGTTATCCTATATCTACTTCTTTTAAGATAGTAGGTAACTAGAGCAACCTTAGACAGTAAACACTTTTTGTAAC